TTTATTCCAAAAGAATAAGAATAATCTAATAATAATAATAACAACAACAACATAAAGACATATTCACTAACTACAGCTTTCAGCTAAAGGTTATTGCCAGCCTATGAAATAGGGAAATAAATATCTCAATTTCATTTCCCTCCCTTCCTTACCGTCTGAAGCTAAGCAGAAGCCAGACACTGAAAGAGTTCTTTCAGTGTAAATAAAGAGAAGTCAGGGTAAAAACTCTTAAGTCTCCAAGGACACTGAGAAGGCATACAGGGAAGGCATGCAAAAAAACTTTATAAAGCAAAAATTACCATGATTCCAAACCAAAAAAGGACAGTGTGATACCATAAATTACATGCACACCTGCACACAAATACAAAATAAAACATTGGCAAACCAAACTCAGCAGTATATAAAAAAGGTAATGTATCAAAGCAAATCTGTATCATTCTAGAAATATAAGATAGGCCCCAAATTAGAAAACTGATTAACATAATTGACCAAAATAGCAGATCAAAGTGGAGGGAACTCACAAAATCATGAAATTTAATAAGACAACTATTTTTGATAAAAGGTCTTAATAAGGAATAGATTGATACATCCTTAATATGATGAAGACATCCACAAAATATCTATAACAAAATCATACTCTATGGAAATGTAAAGACATTTCATCTAAAATGAGGAAGAAGTCAAGCATGCCTGCTTTCATGTTTATTATTTAGCATTGTACAGAAATTCTAATCTGTACATTAAATAACAATAGAAAAATAAAAGATACAGATTAGAAAGCAACAAACAAAACTATTGTAATTCATACATAACTGATTAGTTACAAAAAAATTCAGAAGTCTACAACTATAAGAATTAATAAGTTTTATAAGATTGCCAAACAAAAGACAAATATGCAAAATTTCAACTGTATACTAGCAATAGTTAGAAGGTGCAATTTTAGAAAATCTAACATTTAAAATAACAAAAAATTAGGTACACATCAATAAGTCTAACAAAAGACATTTAAGATTCTCATATACAAAATTAAAAGGCTGAAACAAAAGACTTTAAAGAACAACTAAACAAAGGAAGAGATACACTATGATCATGAATAGAGAGTCTCAATATCACAAGAAATGTGAAATTTCCCTAAACTACCTTATAGACTTCAAACAAGTCCAAACAAACACTGGCAAAAAATTTTGCTTAATGCAACTTTAAAATGGATAAGAACAATCAAGTATCAGCCAACATTGAACTAAAGGAATAGGCTAGTGATTGGCTCTTCTAGATATTACAACCTTTTTCTAAAACAATAGTAATCTGCAATTTGTGCTATTTATAGAGAAAGTCAAATAGAACAATGGATAGAAAAAGAATCCAGAATAGATTCTTTATATGTGGAAATCTATATAGGACAGAGCATGCACATATAATTGGGAAAATATGCCAGAAAATTATTTACCCATTTAGAAAAAGAAATATGGATACATTATAGGCTGAATATCTGTGTCCCCTTATGTTGAAGCCCTAATCTCCAATGAGAGGGTATTTGGAGATGGAGCCTTTAGGCAACAATTAGATTTAGATAAGGCCATGAGTTTGAGGCCCCATGTTGGGATTAGTATTCCTGTAAGAAGAGGAAAAGACACTAAAGCTTGCTTTCTCTCTCTCTCTACCATGTGAGAACACAGTGAGAAGGCAAGTCAGGAAGAGAGGCCTACCCGGAGATGAATTTGCCAGAATTTGATCTTGGACTTCCCAGCATCCAGAAAAGTAAATGTGTGTTACTTAAGTTACCCAAAGATGATGTTTGCAATACACATAATAACAAAGGATTGAATCTAGAGTATAAAACAAGCATATGTGAATCAGTATAAAAAAGAAAATGATAGAAGATAGTGCCGAACAAGCACTCCCACAAGAAAGGAAACATTAATGACTAATAAGCACGAAAAGATGATTAACCTGGGCAACCAAGGAAATACCAATAATACATCATTTTACATGCATGTACATACATACATGTGAATCAGTATGACACGTGCAAGTGGAGCAGTAGGAAGTGCCACATTTCACCATTGGGAGGATCAATTTACAAACTGATATATACAGCCACTGTATAAATGACCTTGTCGCTACCTAGAAAAGTTGAACACATGTATACCTTATCTCTATCAAGATTATGCCCTAGAGAAACAATTGTACATGTGAACCAAGAGATGTATATAAAAATCTTCTCTATGATATTAACAGAACCACAAAAACTAATACCAACTTGAATGTCATCAGCATAAGAATGTTAATATGTTATATATTAATGCAAAGGAATATTATATAGCAATGAAAATATCCAAATCACAGTGTTGTATTCATCTATATTGTCAAATACTATAATCAACACTTACTGGAAAAAAGTCAAAGAACTAAGAGAAACAGAAAAAGACAAAATCTAAATCTATATCATCCTACATATATATCACAATATAAATAAAATTTAATACAGTATTTTCCTCTTGAACCAAAAGGAAATGTGAAAACCATTTAGGGTGAGCAAAAGTACTGGCAATGTTCTATTCCTCAGTCAGTGGGTTTACATCTGTTCATTTAATTATTCCTTCATTAATCTGTGCATATTATACTGTATTATATACATCTATACAATTAAGTTTAAACCTTGGCAAATCTCAGGTATTTATGTTCAGTCTCTATACATAGTCATAATGGAAGAAGTCACATAGACTCAAATAATACCTTTAAAAATATATGGATGATTATGGAAAAATCTGTATTTCTATTCTCAGGACCTCCCATCTCCTGTGGCTATTCAATGGCCTAGATAAATGCCCAGAAGTTTTTCTCTTTGGCAAATAATCTCACATTCTTCTTAACTCTACAGAAAGCCAATATTTTCCAACAATGGACAGAAAATTCTCAGTCCCCAGAAAGTGCCACTATGGCCAGAAGGTCTCTGCAGGCTGCCATTCTGTATTCCTGTCCCTTGGGAACCTGCTTAAGGAGGTGACACCACCAGGGAGCAGTCATTTCCAGATGTTTATCAGCCTCTATGCACACAGTGTTCTCTTTTCACAAAGGTTTCAAAAGGCATCTCATAGACAGATCCACACTGAGCTTTCTAATGACCTCTTCAGCGATTTTATGGAATCCATCAGACAGTGGAATGAATCTGACCTAACATTCCTATGTTCATATATGAATTTACCACAGTGAATCTCACCATGTGTATCCACAAGTTACTAATTTAAAAGAAAACAAGTATAAGTAAATAGCAGAAAGATTAGAAGAATAGAAGGAAGGGAATGGAGTGGGAGGATGAAAGGGATGTACTGGGGACTAAATTAGAACAAATTATATTCCATGCTTTTATAATTATGTCAAAATGAATTCTGTTGTCATATATAACTAAAAAGAACCAATAAAAATATATATGTGTATATATAAATTGATATCTCACTAGATGGTGTGACAAATCCCTCCCTCTCCTAAGTCCAAGGCTAGCTGTGGCTAGCTGTGTCTCGGTTTCTGTAACAAAAGGAACTTGGTAAAATGCCCCAGTGAGAGGGTTAATTCTTAGGCCAATTATACCTATTAGCAGGCTGAAAAACTTCTTTTCTTTAAAGCTTCTCAGTTGCCTCCTGATTTTAGCAATACATCTGGGAGAAAAATCCTTGCTCTCTCCAGCATCCACTTTTGGGTTTACATATATCATAATCTTACCAGAGAAAGAGGTCTGTTCTATCCAAATATTGCAAATCACTTTAATTTTATCAACTGCTATTCTCTATACCTTCTCTAGCTTCGTCTTTTCTTTCCCAGTATTATGACAATGGCTAGAAGAACTCCATGCTATGCTCTCCTTATCTGTATAGCAGTACTAAGCTGGCACTAGTACCTTCTGGCATGTGTCCCACAGAATAGCCAAAGTGAGGATGAGTCCCCATTGATAAGAAGTGGCTGAGGGTGGGGGGTATTAGTGAGGGTATCTGGCCATCGGGCAGAGCTTTTGTGTATTGTCTTCTTGAACAGAGTTGAGTCTTTCACTAAATAGGCTCCAAACTCAAGCTGGACCAGTGTCATACATAAGTAAGAATAATGGTGCTTGATCCCTTCAGACTCTATGCTAGCCTCTAAAGGGCTAATATTCAGCACAACAAGCTAAAAAGTTGTCTCAAGGAATCTGGATGGGTGAAAGAAACAAGAGGCTTTAAAATATCAATTATCTAAGAAAATCTAACTTTCCCTTCTGTTTTTGGAATGTCAACACACCTTGGCAGGAGAGGGTAAAGTATGTGAATGGAGTGAAAATATTGCCTCTGGGATTCCATGTTTAAAATGTAAACATGGACACATGGACCAGTATATAGCACCTCTGTCTTCTCTCCTGGGCTGTAAGTTGGATTTGACCTTCTAGAGATCAGTTTTGCTGTTATGTGTATCTTCTTTTCGACCTCCTCATAACTTTGATTCTGTGAAGTTTACATTTAAAAATGTGGTGCCAAGTATAATCAACCATTTCTACTTCTAGTGTTAAAGTTGAGCCTTTGATTAGGGAAGTGTTGTTGAGTCAACCTGAGAACACAGGCAAGAACTTGGTCTCTCAGACCCAGGCTGCAGAATACAGTGAAGAAGATTCTAAGACCCACTTAGCACAGACAACCCAAGAAAGCTCTAAAGGAAATGTGGTGAGGAGGCATATATCTGCTATCCATTAGGGAACAGCTAAAAATCAGAAAGCTAAAGAGAAAATGGGATTCTTTAATATAGGTTTCATGAATAATTCTTGGAAATTTCAAAATGAAACTTGATAAAAAACCTCTCTGGAAAGGCTCAAAGAGGTTCTAGAATAACATCTATAAAAATATAAACATGAATTTTATACTTTGTACCCCAAATAAAATAATATTAGCAATTAACATCTGGGAGAAAAAACATGTAATCTGTTTTCGGGCTCCCCAAAAAGAACTCCCACCCCCCCAATGAAGAAATGTTGGACTCACGTTAGTGACATATTCAATATCCTTCCAAAGGATGCACTCCCTGGGGAAATCAGCCAAGTCTAAGAAGTGATCCACCACCACTTGGCCGATTAAATCGTGGCGAGAGAACCTGTCAAAGTCGTACACAGAGAAGTGAAGCTTCCGAGCCTCAAGGTCATTGTAGGGAACTGGGAATAAAAACACTTCATCAAACACAGGGTTCAGGGTCTTTCTGTGAACTTTAGTCTGATGTTTTGTTTTCCGATCAGGAAGCAAATAGATCTTGACGTAAGGATCTGAAGTCCCAGAAAAGTCCTTGGCGGGCAAATTGACAGCTTTGTGAATCTTCACTATGAGCTGCTCTAAATCGCAGTCATATTTTAAAATGAAGTTCAGTTTCCCACAAGCTTTGCTGTTACTCCTTCTCCCATCATCATTATCCAATGACCTCTGCTTATATAATTCAGGTTTAATTCTACCAATTCCAGTCAACTGTTCCTGTTTTTGAAGCTGCTGGATATTGAAGTCCGGGTTTGACAGGTTGAGTTGTCTTCGGATTGAATTATGCCTTAAATGAAGAGCAAAACAGGGTGAAGTTATAACCTTATTAGCTACGGGTCTTTCAGAAACTTGTGTCTGGAATGTAGGTAGCTCTTATATTATGTTAAGAGCTTAGATCTGTGGGCTTTTTTTTTTTTTTTTTGGCTTAAATTCAAAATGCTCATCAATGTGAGTAAGCAGCTCCCTAAGGCTTGAAGCTCAAAATTGAGGCTGGTATCAGGAAATGAACTTACTAACATGTGACCTTGAAGCTTTAAAGGTTTAATGCACTTTCTAAACTGTCTAATGTGCCATTAAAGAAGCTTATCTGGCTGGTGGAATGTAAAGATTTGTATGGGCTACTTTAAAAATGAAATTATTCACCTTTATAAATAATATCCTGAAATTGAAATACTTAGCTAAGTGTATTAAAAAGAATGAATGCATCTTTCTCAAAATTGCATAGAATTTTGTGTCATTGACTTACAAACTTAGAAGGAAGTAAATGAATCCTTTCTGGTTCAATCAAATAATTTCATCACAAGAACACAGTTTTTGCTCATGTGACTAGGATGTGTCTGCCTACAGGGATTGTGCTGACTTTGACAGGTACAAGAGACAGTGTTGAGATTGTGTTTTTGCTGTGCCATATGGGTGATTAGCGATCAGGAGGATTCATTTCTGAAATAAATAATAATGGCACCAAAATTAAAGATGAGCTACTATAAATGAAGATAGGGATTAAGTTAGAGAAGCTTGGATGTTGATATTTGCAAGTTAAATATTTGCCAATGGAGTCTACTTGTCTACTTTTCATCCTATAAGCTTATTGGTTTGAGTTAGAAGTTTCCCTAAAATTCTCTTTAAAACCTGTTTTACCTGTGTGGATCCTCACAAGTTGAAAAGGGTTTTGTTGTTGTTGGGTTTTTTTTTTTTTCTTTTTTGGTACCAGGGATTGAACCCAAAGGCACTTTACCACTGAACCACATCCCCAGCCCCTTTTTTTAATTTTTAATTTTGAGATGGGGTCTCGCTAAGTTGGTTAGGTCCTCACTAAATTCTTAGACTGGCTTTGAACTTGTGATCCTCTTGCCTCAGCCTCCCAAGCTGCTGGGATTACAGATGTGTACCACTGCACCTGGCACAAAGTTGGTTTTAGGTTATTTTTGCTTGTTTTCAGCCCCGAGTTGACAGTCTTTATATTATGTTATATGTAGCTACTCAATAACATTAAATAAAATAGTCTGCAGTAAAAGGGACAGCCAGGATGTCTCTGAGGGACTAGTAAAGAGGTGGAGAGGCAGAGCAAACACTGGTATTTATCTTTAATTCTTTTCTTACAACTACATTGTGACATAAAGATGTGATAAACAGACCTCAAAACATGGTTGAAATTATTCAACCTCACAGATGTCACAATGAACATTCCTCTTCCTCCAGAAATATCCTCCTGATCACTAATTATCCATCTGGTATAACAAGAGCACTGTCACAGAGCTGTCACTTATATTTGACACCAAACATAGTCCCCAAAAAGCAGATACACCCCAGTTACAAACATTCCTTAATGTGCAAAAACCATGTGGTCTGAGATTTCAATTTCTTCCAGAGAAACCCACATTCTTAAGGTTTCTCTGCGTCTCATTATTTTAGGGGTCCAGGAGGCAAATGCTGGTAAGTGACCAAACTGGCTTTCCACACTAGTACAGCTAGGCCATTCCCTAGTCTAGAATTAGAACCAGTGTGGTGCTAGAGCAGAGCTTTTATCTTGCTCTGTCAGCCTCTGTGGACAAAAAGAATTGTCAGGAAGCAACAAAGGCAAGAAGAGGATGGGACCAGTGGCATCTTCCTCTGCTACTGATTTTTCTATATGGGTTAGATCCAAAAAGGGCCCAAGCTTTGGTACTCAGTCAGTTCCCACAAACCTGAGTGGGGATTAGTTAATAGGACTAACTAGTGGGGATTTGTATGGACTATTCTAGGTGCTGTTTAGTTAGTGGTACTGATTTACATAATATAAATGCACCTTCAAGATCCACTGGATGCTCCTTCTTGGATTGGAGTCTGATGTAGTAACAATTCTATGTCTCCCAGGCCCAGCTACTCTGCGGCCCTTTCCTCCCTGGGTGGCTGCTGAGCAGAGTCTCTGTGAATGTCACCTTTGAGTTTTTTTTTTTTTTTAAATGGCTATGTATTCATCACATCTCAGCAATGTTTTGTTTTAAATCTTGTCTGTAGGACTAATTCTACCAAGTAAATTTAAATTTAAAACACATGGATTTGGCTACTTAGAAATGGAATATATTCTGTTGTACATGTGCATTTTTCTTAGACACAAAATGTGCAGAGAAATTCGTACTACATGTTCGGACCTTGCTAACCACAATGGATTGCCAGCAGGTAGAGGGAGTGAGGTGGAGAGGGCATAATGGATTTGTACTTCAAAGGCCAAAATAAAATTTCATTCCAAGTACCTGATTGCCCACGAAGACCCATATTCAAAATTTCAATATAACCAAAGATTCTTCTTAAAAACCAATCACAAATATGAATACTATTACCTACCAAATGTATTACATGCTAATTTATTTCCCAATACTTTTTCCCCATTCAGAATTACTCCTGGGCAAATAGTTGAATTTTACTGTAAGGTACTGGCTTAAAGCAGACAGCAAAGACTAACCAGGCACAGCAGTTTCTCATTGCCTGGGGCTCCTTTCAGGCGGCACTGAGTTTACTAGAGTTGGGGGAAGGGGTAGAACAGAGAAGTTCAGAACAGCCAGAGAATCTGGGTAACTTGTTACTTCCTGCATAACAGCTCCAGGGGCTGAGAGATGAGAAAGTAGAGCAGGAAGGCTGCCCCAGGGACACAAAGGAGAAGATGAGGTAGAAGAAATTGAAAATCAGTATTCCATAGCTTTTATAGGCTACTGAAATGGAAGCAGGAAGAAAAAGCAAATCCAAAGCAAGAGGGAAGAATGATCCGAACATAGTGTTATGACCTGAGCTCTCTCCACCCCAAAAGAGGGGGTTTCCAAATGGTCAATGGAGGTGGTCTTTGAGTGCAGTATACAAGAGGTTTTTCAGGACCAGGTCTGGAACTTTAATATCACAGAGTGACATCGATTATGATATTGAGTGATCATGGTCAGGGGGAATCTGTGTTCAAAACACAGTTTTCTGAGTAGATGTGGGGATCCTGGATTTTGGTGTTCTCAGGACTCAAAGTGCACAATAAATGGAAAGAGAAAAAAGTAAACCTTAAGGATGGTGGGAGAGGGAGGCAGAAAGCTGAAAGATAGTCTCCTCTGTAAATAACTTGCTACAGAGAAGCTGGATGCTGGGATTTAAACTCAGCTTCCTCCACCTCTCATTCTCTCTCAGGGGCAGCAGAGGCAATTTCCTATCATGGAAGAGACAGGGAAAAGAACTTAAAGACTGAACTTGGCTGAGAAATGAAAAAGACCTGAACTGGAAGATTTGTGGTTGAGCTTGTTGAAAGTTTGAGTTCAAATATAATTAACAAATTTTGTAAAGTGGGTTTCCCATAATAAACTCCAAAACATACTTGTACACCTGAAGCAATCTAAGCCTTGTGCTGAGCTGTAGCCATGAATAAGGAAGAGGCAAGAGCCCAGAGCCAAAAAGGTTTTCCTTCTTTCCTTTTCTCATATGTGAATTAACCAGTCCCAGCTCTAGTATCAGGCCCTGACTCATCACCCAAATAGCCAACTATGTCCATCAGATCTTAAGAAAGAGGACATTACTGTAATTCAACAAATGTGAATATGCAAAGGAAGGTGTCAAGTGGAGCGGAAGTTATAGAGAAGCACAGTCCATGCCTTGAAGGAAATAACAGGTCAGGCAAGCGAGGAGATAGTCCTCCAGGATCTGTAAAGCAGGGCAGATGGGGATAAGTCAGTACTTAGGGGTTAGAGAGCCTGAGAGCAGAAAGGGAGAATGAAAGTCCTCTGGCTTAGGACATTTTCATGGAGCAGATGGTACTTGAGCTGGGCTTGCCTATTTAATTTAGCCTCATCCTTATTCTCTTCCAAAGTGATGTTGTAGACGTCCAGAGAGAAATTAACTAATTTTCATCTAGGTCTCAGCTCTCTAAGAGGATCTTCAGCTGTCTGACTCCAGCAGTTTTCATATAAGCCCAGCTATCATATATACCCCTTTACATATATGTCCACCACATCTCACATTCCAGGCTCTATAAGAACCAGTGTTTAGAATTCCCAACATCCCTTTCATCTCTGGGTTTAAGGTACAACCATGGACAAGTGCACTCTCTTCCGTGTTCCCTCACCTCAGTGGCCTCATCTCAGAGGTGAAACCTGACCTATCCCTTCCCTGGTTCTGGGGTACTAGTGTTGGCCAGGCTTCAAGGTCCAAGGAGAGACAAGACAGAATCAAACTGTAACTTCAGAACTATCACTGATTCCTTGACTACATTCTAGTCAAGGCAGGAAGTGTGGAAACACTCGAGACAGGACGCTGTTTATCTTCTCTGAAACTCCCATGGTGGTGGAGAGGCAAGAGTTTGGTTGTTCTAAACCATAGCAGACATAGAAAGGGAAGAACTAGACAGGGGCTGTTAATACACTTCAAGGACAGGAGGGAATGGGAACCTGAGATTTTCTTGGCTTGGGCTTCTCTAGTGAATGAGATAATGAAGGCATCAAGCATCAGGCCTTGGGGCCAGTAGAGTAGTGTGGTCAAGGGCAATTCAATACACTGAAGTATGACCTGCTTCTTCACACCATTTCCGAAGTTAAACAGGTTAGAAACCTTGGTGTCACTGTCAAATACTATATCCCCCATAACTGGCAAGACTTCTGCCCACCAACACCTTATCTAAAGTCACTCATATCATCTGTGTCTTTCCATTCCCACTGTTCCCATGACAGGCTTGGACTAGCCTTCTGTATCCACTCTTTGCCCTATCCCGCATATCTTATGCATTCAAATTAATCTTCTAAAGAACAATTTGAACACTTCAATGTTTGTAACTGATGCTTTTCTTTTGGGTCTTTAAAGGGAGGACTATATTTTTTTCTAATACCAGAACCTAGTAGAGAATTTGACACATAACAGATGCTTAGTACACGTGTTTATAGTAAGTATACAAACACCATGAACTTAACAATTTCTGAAAATTAAATCCCAGTAGAGAAAATACACATTTATATCTAGTTTCAGGGTCTCATGGAAGTTGAGATAGGTCTAGGCAACTTCCACTTTTTAAGTTGTTAGTTTATTAAAATCTGAAGAAAGTTCAAAAGCTTTTTGCTCTCAACACAAAAACATAGGTTCACAGAAATGTGCTACTCATGATTACAACATTTAATCTTTGTGTACTACTTATGAGAGTTGTGGCCAGTAAAGGGACCCAAGTTTAAAATGTGATAGTTATCTTATTCTTTCAATCCTGTCATTGCATCTCTGTACGTCTGTGGATTGCTTAATTCAGAAATAAGGTCAAAAGTCTAAATGGGAGACTCTTAATGAATGTAAAGCCTGAGAAAAATGGCCTTCTGCCAGTCTCACACCATTATGGGCCCTACTCAGTTTATACTTCTGGCCATTTGCCATTATTGACAGCAGAACAAGAGAAAAGCAGCCTGCTATTGATCAATGTATTCTATCAGTCATTCATGGAAAAAAAAATCTGCTATATACCAGGCACCAGGTACAGAGAAAGAAACAATATAGATGTGGTCTCTGAGTTGACAGAACTCTTTGTCTAGTGGGGAGTATAGGCAATAAATAATCACATAGAAATAGTGTTCAATAAAACAAGGCAACATGAGAACTTAAGAGTGGGAGGGAGTGCAGGACAAAATGCATCTTTCAGGTGGGGTGTCAGGGAGACCTTTGTGGGCAGGAGATATTTTAGCTAGGACATTCAAGCTGCAAAGGATCCAGGAAAGGCAAAGATAATGGAAAAGCATTCCTGGCTGAGGGAATAGTGGTGTGAAGGTCTCTAGGTAGCAGGAGGCTTGGTATACTGAAGGAAGCAGGAGAGATCCAGCTAGTGTAGCTGGACTGTGATGAGCTTTCTATAGGCAATGCCTCCTACAGAGTCCACGTAAACAGTGTACACTGGGGTTTGCAACATGGAAGATCTGGTAGGAGGAGAGGCTCTGCCAATACCATGCAAGGCCTTCACAGACATGTTAAGAAGTTTGTGATACGACCAGTCAGTTTTCATAGCACCAAAGTGTTATATACAGGAAATCTGAGAAGGCTTAAATAACCAGGATGGACTTTCATCTTGAGACATGAATGAGGAAATGAATTTGACAGCCTTTCAATGTTCCTTCTATTTTGGAGAACCAGAGATTTTTGTATACTTGGGATAGGGTCCTTTATAATAAAGCTCTGGTATTGAAAAACTCTTGAAAAATGAAGATATACACATTTCCAACACATTAAATCATTAACACAGAGAGATTTCACCCAAGTTGAAAAGAATTAACAGGAATTTTAGATAGTTTTAATAGTAATTGAGCAAACTAGACACAGAATCTTACATGATTGGTCTTGTAACCACAGAAAGTCATCCTGACCAGAAACATTTGAAGATCAAACAAGGTTCATCTTTAGGGTATTCCAAATGGCACTGGTATGAGCCACATGTATCCAATTTGAAAAAAGTTAAGATTTCCAGTGTAAATGCTATGACAGAAGCTATGGCAATCATGGTGACAAGGAGGATGTCCTTAAATGGGAATCTAAGTCATATGCGCAACTGGGCCAAAGAGGTATCCTCAGAACCCTGCAACAAGTGATAACTGCTATGGGACAGAAACAGTGAGAAAGGAAAGGACATAATGAGAAAGAAGGTAAAAGAAATAACAGCTGGCAGAACAGACTACTCAGGGTCATTTCAACAGAGTACTTTTCCCCTTCTCAAATATGTTACTTAAAAAAAGAATGTTAAAAATGTTTTGGAGATGAAGGAAATTTCATTTGCTTTCCCCCTTTGTCAGGAAAAAGGTTTGTGTGTGTGTGTGTGTGTGTGTGTTCTTATAATGCAACACAATCACTAAAGAATCAGAGGACCATACACTACTAGACAAAGATATGTATCTGCAAACAGAACCCACAAAACTAGGTCAGTAGTAATTTAAGTATGAATGTTTTAAATGCATAAAGATGCAAATTCATATTTAATACTAGGTCAAATGCAGCTGGGAAGAATTTAGTTTTCTAACAGCAGTTCAGCTATTGCTAAACCTGATTTTGGCCATCAGAAAAGATAATTTAATTGCATGTCTCCCAAACTAAAATAAATCTAAATGTAAAATTCATTTTACAGGGATAATTCCTTTGCTTTCCTCCCTCTCTCTCTCTCTCTCTCTCTCTCTCTCTCTCTCTCTCTTTTTTTCTTATACCCAATTTCTACAAATCAGTAGGGAAGATAACAACGGTTTTTCTCTTTTAAGCAAATTATATTTTTGATACACAGGGTACTCATATATTTTTCTAGAATCAATATGATAATTATAGTGATATTATTGGTATCAGTTTATTACAATTATATGGCAGAGTGCTCAGATCAAATCTAATAAAAACAGTTGGAGGAACCCAGACAAGATAAATTATATGCAGAAAAGAACCAAATAGAAGACAATTTCACTGGAATCCTCATCTAAAAGGCTCCACATCTTAAAGTACTGAGAGGATTTTATTATGAATCTGCACCACTGCATGAACTCCATGATGGCATCAAACAGAGTTCTAGTTATATTTAAGTCTTAAATCTGAAGAGAAATCCTAGTGATAAAATCTGAGGGTTTCTTGTAAATTAAATGGCAAACAACCGCCCATTTCCTTACAGAGGAATATTTTAAGTTTAGCTCTTTGGTTCAGAATTGGAAATGATGCTAAAACAGGTTTCTGAAAAAATTAAACTGTAAACTGTCATATTCCATCCCCCTGAATGTGAATGAGCAGAGCCTCTAGGATAAACTTGATTAACATAGAAAAGGGTAAAATCTTATTTCTGTTTCTACAGAATAAAAGATTTCTTGAAACACCCCCAAACTGTGTTAATACTGTCCAAATAATAGCATATGCTATTCCTTTACTACCCAAGCAAATGTTTTCATTTTAAAGAAAGGTGATTCTGTGTGTTTTTTTCCCCTAACATCTCTTACTAAAACTAGGCTGTTATATCCAGTGGTTTAGAATTGGCTGTTTAGCCTCAAACCCACCTTTCTGCAATCTGAGTTGAGAATAGGCCTGTCTCAATGACAACAGTGATAATAATACAAAAAGCAAACTGGCAGCACTTACTAGGTGCAGACTGTGTAAGTGTATGTTGTCATTTCCTTTTAAAAATCACCTCAAAGTTGGTATTATTCTACTTCTCACATAAAAGAAATGGCACATACAGACATTAAGTAATTTGTTCAATGTTACACATATAGGTAATAATAGATCAATTCATTAGACCTAAGAGCCATGATTTTCATTACTCTCCTTCATTATTTCTCTACTGTTTAAGAGCGCAAAGCACCCAAACAATAGAAAGAGAGTAACCCAAGGTTTCTAGGTACTCTGTAGGCCTTACAAAGGCTGGAGATGGACAAAGACCTCCAGCTACATTGTGGAGTCTAAAGACAGACTATTTGTGACTCCTAGGCCAGGCCAGGACAGAGACACAGTGAATAAATTCTGCAGCTCTAGGAGAACAGCAGAGAACAGTAGTGAAGGAAGAGCTCAGGTTCTAGTGTTGGTTGAACCAGGGTTCAAATCCTGACTTGGGTGCTTGACTTTGTTACTTAATCTTCTCGACTTAAGTTTCTTCTATTATAAAATAAAATGATAATAGCATCCATATCAAAGTTTTAAGTTATAATAAAATAATGCACATAATGTTTATACATTATACTAGATACATGATAAGTTCTAACAATGTTAGCTATTACTTTTATGGACTTGGTAGAGACTAAGTAGCACTCAGGAACTAACTCCTCACAGGAAGCACAGTTTTCCCATACTCATATTTCTGATACTGAATGGACATCTAAAAGGTTACATGCTTCTTGGCTATTCAATGCCATAACTGACAAAAAAGGGAAGGGTGGTCTCTGCCTTGCATATCAGAAAGGAAGTGGGCATTACTGACCGAGCCGATGAGGTTGGCTCTGTAACTTGGCGCTGCACACGGACGCCATGGGCACAGTTCTCCTGGACCCCCGGCTGGGTGGAGAGGGGAATGTCAGGGGAGGTGTGGCTGATCTTCATGGAAGAGTCAGGGCAGGGTGTGGGCAGATCTAGGAAGTCCTCACTGTTCTCCTGCTCATTGGTCTCTGTGTCCGTGCAGTTAAAAGGTTCCTGGTTGTTGTCTTTGCTACCAGAGAGTAGGCCTCGTTCTCGCCATGGAACCCAGCAGAGTTTCCAAGACACGAAGAGAGACACGCCAAAGAGGGCAAGACCACAGGCAGTGACCACAAGAGTCAGCAGGCTCACTGAGATATCTGAAAAGAAGCAAAGATCAAAGGTCAGTGTGATTGTGCCTCCAATATATATCCATTGCACTGTGTGAGAAGAATCACAGTCTCATCCATTTATTCCTAAGGAGGTGATTGCAGGAGGCCAGGCTGGGGGATGCTGCAGGGTCACCTGATTCTGGGGCAGTAACAATGAGAATTTGGACACAAACCAGAGGACCAGCAAAAGCAGAGAGAAGGTAAGATAACACCCAGGATGTGTATAGAAACAATGAGAAGCCTGCAGCAGCAAGAAACAGGTTATATTCTGGAGGAGGAAAAATGTTCCGCAAGTTGAATGAGACCCTATCCTACATGCAGCACAAATCGTTAACGTTTTCTGAGCAGGGTACTTGCAATTGTTATTTAAAATTACTGTGGGAGGAGGAGGGAGGGGTGAGAGGAAGAGGAGGAGAAGGAGAAAGAAGAGGTGGAGGGAGAAGAGGAAAAGAAGAAGGGGATGAGTAAGAGGAGGAGGAGGAAGGGCAGCAATAATAACAAAAACAACAATCAGCTGCAAAAATAAAGGAGAAGAAGAAGAAGATGGCGGCGAGGGTAGTGCATTGCCCCCGTGTGCCGCATCACTGTGTGAGAGAATGACGAGTCAGGACGGCTAAAGGCTATCTTGTTAGGAATTTCCAGCAATAGTGGGGTGCTCCGGAACCTGGAGGAAGGATTTCCATCGCACGAGGATCGGCTACGGGGACTCAAATGCGAGAGATTTGTTGCACGGAGGGTAACACTGCTTATTCAGCAAATCGCCCCGCGGCTAGAGTCTGCAGCGCGCGCTGGGAAACGAGGAGATAGCGACGCAGGGATACAGCGCTGCAGTTTCTGCCAGCCGTGCAAGCACCGTACTCAGGGCTGAATTCTGGGTTCGAGACGGGGGAAGGAAGCGGTCCAATTCGGTTCTCCACACCGGTCAGACCACAGAGGAGGCCAGCGGCCACCATCTTGGAGAGCTGACGTCACCATCCCTGTTTTCAACTGACCGCAGCTCATTCAGCCATAGAACAGGTAATTTCAGGCTGCCATTCGCCAGCGGCTTGCAGACAGATCACTCAGGCTCAGTGTTAAATAACCCGCAGAAACTGCTTCTTGGAGCCTGCTCTTATCAGAGCATACACCGAGCACGGAGCGGCTGAGTTCCAGCTCCCGGAACTGCTCTGGCCCAGGGCTAAGGAGCCCGCGGAAACTGCTTCTTGGTCCGGGTCCTGCTGAATACTGTGGAGGTAAATACCAACCGAGCCTTCGTGGGCAGTGGCAACAGGACTGAGACGGGGCCTGTGAGGGCCGGTCAGGACTCACCCGTTGCTTTGGTCACCCGGCAAAGGGAACGAAATGCTGCCATTCGCATGGGATACCAACATGGCAGAGATCTGATGTCATCAGAAAGCGGCGGAGGACAGAACATCATCAATACCAGCGGCGACAGAAACAGTTGGTCTCCTGGTAGGGAGGGTGAGTCACAGACACCCGAGTCTCTCTCGCTTTGTCGTCGAGCCAGAGGGGAGGAGCCGGGCCGCCGCCCGCGCCCGGAACAAGCCCAGCAGCTCGCTGGCGTGGTGGTCGCGTGACCCCAATTGGAGAGGGAGCGGAGCGGAGCCGCCACCCGCGCCTGCAAGGTAAGCAGACCTGCGACAGACTGGCGGGTCAGGCCCAGCGGCCTGCCAGCGTGCTACACACGTCACCCCAACTGGAGTAGGGGCAGAGCAGAGCCTTCGCCCGCACCCGGATCAGGCCCCGCCAGTGTGGTGGACAAGTGACCCCAATTGGAGTGGGGGCGGAGCGGAACCGCCACCCGTGCCCGCAGGGTGGGCAGACCTGCGACCAACCTGCAGATCAGGCCCAGCGGTCCGCGGGCGTGGTAGGAGGGGCAGGGCAGAGCCGCCGCCCGCGCCTGCAAGGTAGGCAGACCTGCGACAGACCGGCAGATCATGCCCAGCGGCCTGCCGGCGTGGTACACACGTCACCCCAATTGGAGTAGGGGCAGAGCAGAGTCGCGGCCCATGCCAGGAACAGGCCCAGCAACCTGCCGGCGTGGTAGTCACGACACCCCAATTGGAGTAGGGGCAGAGCAGAGCCGCCACCCGTGCCCGAAAGGTGGGCAGACCTGTGACCGACAAGCGGGACAGGCCCAGTGGCCTGCCGGTGCGACAGACAGGTCACCCCATTTGGAGTAGGGGCAGAGCAGAGCCGCCGCCCGTGCCCGCAAGGTGGGCAGACCTGCGACCGACCGGTGGAACAGGTCCAGCGGCCGGCCGGGGTGGTAGGCACATCACCCCAATTGGAGTAGGGGCAGAGCAGAGCCTTCATCCGCGCCCGGAACAGGCACAGCGGCCCGCAGGTGTGGTAGACAAGTCACACCAATCGGAGGGGGGGCAGAGCAGAGCCGCCGCCCGCGCCTGCAGGGTAGGCAGACCTGCGACCGACCGGCAGAACAGGCCCAGGGGTCCGCGGGCGTGGTACACACCTCACACCAATTGGAGGAGGGGCAGAGCAGAGCCGTCGCCCACGCCTGCAAGGTAGGCAGACCGTCGCCCACGCCTGCAAGGTAGGCAGACCGCCGCCCGCGCCTGCAAGGGAGACTTTTCAAATATACAAGAGCAATATACATATATAGGGGAAAAAACATTTCAAAAACACAACAGTTTCACCAAGCAGAAAGAAACGCAAGCAGTATGAAAATACAAGGAAAGAAAGGACCACAATCAATGCAAGTCAACTCAACTTTAGAAGAGGTAACAGCTGCAGCAGATGGAATGTCAGATAAAGAATTCAGGATATACATGCTTCAGATGATCTGGAGTATCAAGGAAGACATTAGACAGCAAAATCAGACAATGAAAGATCACTTCGACAATGAATTACGCAAACAAATCCAGGAAGCAAAGGATCAACTATACAGGGAGATAGAGGTTATAAAAAACAAACAAACAGAAATCCTAGAAATGCAGGAAGCAATAAACCAACTTAAAAACTCAATGGAGAATACTACCAGCAGAGTAGAACACTTAGAAGATAGAACATCAGACAATGAAGACAAAGTATTTCAACTGGAAAAGAACATAGACAGCTCAGCAAGACTGTTAAGAAACCATGAGCAGAACATCCAAGAAATATGGGATAACATTAAGAGACCAAACTTAAGAGTCACTGGGATACAGGAAGGTATAGAACTCCAAACCAAAGGAATGAGCAATCTATTCAATGAAATAATACGAGAAAACTTCCCAGACTTGAAGAATGAGACAGAATCCCAAATCCTAGAAGCCTACAGGACGCCGAATGTGCAAAATCATAAGAAATCCACACCTAGACACATTATAATGAAGATGCCCAACATACAGAATAAGGAGAGAATTTTAAAAGCAACAAGAGAAAGGAAGAAGATTACATTTAGGGGTAAGCCAATCAAGATAACAGCTGATCTTTCAACACAGACTCTGAAAGCTAGAAGATCCTGGAATAACATATTTCAAACACTGAAAGAAAATGGGTTCCAACCAAGAATTGTGTATCCAGCGAAATTAAGCTTCAGGATGGAAGATGAAATCAAAACCTTCCACGATAAACAAAAGTTAAAAGAATTTGCAGCTAGAAAACCATCTCTTCAAAACATCCTCGGCAAAACATTACAGGAAGAGGAAATGGAAAATAACAATGAAAACCAACAGTGGGAGGTAGGACAGTAAAGGGGGGGAAATAATCAAAGAGGAAAACAAACCATGTTTAGTAACAGAAATAAACAAATATGGCTGGAAGAACAACCCATATCTCAATAATAACCCTAAATGTTAATGGCTTAAACTCACCAATTAAGAGACACAGGCTAGTAGAATGGATCACAAAACAAGACCCAACAATATGCTGCCTACAGGAGACGCATTTGATAGAAAAAGACATACATAGGCTGAAGGTGAAAGGTTGGGAAAAATCATATCACTCATATGGACTTCGGAAACAAGCAGGAGTGTCCATACTCATATCAAATAAAATAGATTTCAAGCCAAAGTTAATCAAAAGGGATAAAGAGGGACACTACATACTGCTTAAGGGAACCATACACCAACAAGACATAACAATCATAAATATATATGCCCCAAACAATGGTGCAGCTATGTTCGTCAAACAAACTCTTCTCAAGTTCAAGAGTCTAATAGACCACCATACAATAATCATGGCAGACTTCAACACACCTCTCTCGCCACTGGACAGATCTTCCAAACAAAAGTTGAATAAGGAAACTATAGAACTCAATAACACAATTAATAACCTAGACTTAATTGACATATATAGAATATACCACCCAACATCAAGCAGTTACACTTTTTTCTCAGCAGCACATGGATCCTTCTCAAAAATAGATCATATATTATGTCACAGGGCAACTCTTAGACAATATAAAGGAGTAGAGATAATACCATGCATCTTATCTGATCATAATGGAATGAAACTGAAAATCAACGATAAAAGAAGGAAGGAAAAAGCATACATCACTTGGAGAATGAACAATAGGTTACTGAATGATCAATGGGTTATAGAAGACATCAAGGAGGAAATTAAAAAATTCTTAGAGATAAAGGAAAACACAGACACAACATATCGGAATCTATGGGACACATTGAAAGCAGTTCTAAGAGGAAAATTCATTGCTTGGAGTTCATTCCTTAAAAAAAGAAAAAACCAACAAATAAATGATCTCATACTTCATCTCAAAATCCTTGAAAAAGAAGAGCAAAACAACAGCAAAAGAAGTAGAAGGCAAGAAATAATTAAAATCAGAGCTGAAATTAAAGAAATCGAAACAAAAGAAACAATTGAAAAAATTGACAAAACTAAAAGTTGGTTCTTTGAAAAAATAAACAAAATTGACAGACCCTTAGCCATGCTAGCGAAGAGAAGAAGAGAGAGAACTCAAATTACTAGCATATGGGATGAAAAAGGCAATATCACAACAGACACTTCAGAAATACAGAAGATAATCA